TCTCAAAGAACCAGCTCCTGCTTTCATTGATTCTATTGTTTTATTCCTGATTTTATTTATTTCTGCTCTAATCTTTATTATGTCCCTCCTTCTACTCACTTTGGGCCTTATTTATTCTTCTTTTTCTAGTTTTGTTAATTGTGAGTTTAGACTGTTCATATGGGATTGTTCTTCTTTTCTGACGTAGGCCTGTATTGCAATATACTTCCCTCTTAGCATGGCCTTTGCTGCGTACCACAGATTTTGCAGTGTTGAATTATTGTTGTCATTTGTCTCCATATATTGCTTGATCTGTCTTCATTTGGTCATTGATCCACAGGTTATATAGGAGCATGTTGTGAAGCCTCTATGTGTTTTTGGTATTTTCCTTTCTTTTTTGCATAATTTATTTCTAGTTTTATGTCTTTGTGATCTGAGAAACTGGTTGGTACAATTTCAATCTTTTTGAATTTACTGAGGCTATTTTTGTCACTTAGTATATGATCTATTCTTGAAAATGTTCCATGTGCACTTGAGAAGAATGTGTATTCTGCTGCTTTTGGGTGTAGAGTTCCGTAGATGTCTGTTAGGTCCATCTGTTCTAATGTGTCATTCAGCGCATCTATCTCCTCCTTACTCATTTTTTGCCTGGTTGGTCTGTCCTTTGGAGTGAGTGGAGCATTGATTTCTCCTAGAATGAATGCACTGCATTCTATTTCCCATTTTAATTCTGTTACTATTTGTTTCACATATGTAGGTGCTTCTTTGTTGGGTGTATAGATATTTACAACGGTTATATCTTCTTGTTGGATTGACCCCTTTATTGTCATATAATGTCCTTCTTTGTCTCTTGTGACTTTCTTAGTTTTGAAGTCTATTTTGTCTGATACAAGTACTGCAACTCCTGTTTTTTTCTCCCTATTAGTTGCATGAAATATCTTTATCCATCCCTATATTTTTAGTCTGTGTATGCCTTTGGGTTTAAGGTGAGTCTCTTATAGGCAGCATATAGTCGGGTCTTGTATTTTTATCAATTCAGTGACTCTATATCTTTTGATTGGTGCATTCAGACCATTTACATTTAGGGTAATTATCAATAGGTATGTACTTATTGCCATTTCAGGCGTCAGATTCGTGGTTACCAAAGTTTCAAGGTCAACTTCCTTACTATCTAAGAGTTTAACTTACCTCACTTCGTATGCTATAATAAACACATGCTAAAAGTTCTTTTTTTCTCTTCCATTTTCTTCCTCCTGCATTCTTTATATATTAGGTATCATATATTCTTTACTCTTTGTCTATCCCTTGACTGACTTCGGGTGTTAGCTGATTTAATTTTGCATTTGCTCAGTAATTAACTGTTCTACTTTCTTTACTGTGGTTTTATTACCTCTGGTGACAACTATTCAACCTTAGGAATACTTCCATCTATAACAGTCCCTCCAAAATACACTACAGAGATGGTTTGCGGGAGGTAAGTTCTCTCAGTTTTTGCTGATCTGGAAATTGTTTAATCCCTCCTTCAAATTTAAATGATAACCTTGCTGGATAAAGTAATCTTCATTCCAGGCCCTTCTGCTTCATTGCATTAAATATATCATGCCACTCCCTTCTGGCCTGTAAGGTTCCTGCTGAGATGTCTGATGACAGCCTGAGGGGTTCTGCTTTGCATATGATCTAATTTTTCTCTGGCTGCTTTTAATAATCTGTCTTCCTTGGTCTTTGCCATTTTAATTATTATATGTCTTGGTGTTGTCTTTCTTGGGTCCCTTGTGTGAGGAGATCTGTGCACCTCCATGGCCTGAGAGACTATTTCCTTTCCCAGATAGGGGAAGTTTTCAGCAACTAGTTCTTCAAAGACACTTTCTATCTCTTTTTGTCTCTCTTCTTCTTCTTGTACCCCTATAATACAAATATTGTTCCGTTTGGATTGGTCACACAGTTCTCTCAATATTCTTTCATTCTTAGAGATCCTTCTTTCTCTCTGTGCCTCAGCTTCTTTGTATTCCTCTTCTCTAATTTATTTTCATTTATTGTCTCCTCCACTTTATCTAATCTGCTTTTAAAACCTTCCATTGTATGTTTCATTTCTGATACTGTGTTCCATAATGATTAGATCTCCAACCAGATTTCATTACTGAGTTACTGAATATTTTTCTGTGTCTCCATGAGCATGTTTGATTTTTATCTTGAAATCTCTTTCAGGAAGACTCATGAGATCAGTTTCATTTGACTCTTTATCTGGTGTATGTAGGATTTTGCTTTGAACCAGGTTCCTTTGACGTTTTATATTTGTCTGTATCGCCCTCTAGTGCTGAGAGCCTCTACTCTCTGGAGCTGCTCAGCCCCTGGAGAAATGTTGTGGGTCGCAGGAGAGCGGAGTTGGCACCTGAGGTGAGGAAACAGCTATCATCCTGCTTCCAGGCCGCTATGCCCGTCTCCACCGCCAGAACCACTGGGACAAGCACATGGGTGTAAGTCTCTGTGCTTTGTGTTTGTAGCTGCTGTAGACCAGGGCTTCCTTCTGGGTGGCCTGACGCCAGGGCAGGGTTTGCCAGTTTGAGAGCCAGGTGCAGGCTGGCCAGGAGAAAGATGCAGCAGTCTGCGTATCATGGAGGGGGTCCTTGGAGCTGCGTAGCCAGCCAGGGGGATGGAGCGCCTGAAGATCGTGAAAGCTCCCAGCCTGCTGGGCAGAGTGCACCTGGACAATTCTGTCCACCTGTCCTTTCTCCTGAACAGTGAGCTCTGTGCAATTCTTGCCCCTTTGGCAGCCCTCTTGCTAAGGGCCTCCTTGTTAGGACGTCTCTCAGACTGCCCGGCTTTCTCTTGTCCCAGAGCAGCCGGATATGGATCCCTGCTTTCCTCAAGCGGCTGGAATCTGTCTCCCTGGGTATTCTGCCTGTCTTAGGTTTCAAACCCCCTAATCACCAGAGCACATGCAGTGTAGGTCTGTGCTCCCAGAGCAGATCTCCAGGGCTGGGTGTTCAGCAGTCCCAGGCCTCCACTCCCTCCACGCTCTGGTTCTCTTCCTCCCGCCGGTGAGCTGGGGTTTGGGGAGGGCTTGGGTCCCACCGGGCCATGGCTTTGGTACGTTACCCTGTTCTGTGAGGTCTGCTCTTTTCTCCAGGTGTGTGCAGTCTGGTGCAGTCCTCTTTCCTGCTGCTCCTTCAGGATTAGTTGTATTAATTACATTTTCGTATTATGTGCGGTTTTAGGATGCGGCCTCTGTCTCACCTCGCATGCCACCATCTTTAATCCAAGTCAAGAGGGACTTATCTTTTATTTATAACTAAGGATACCAGCTTTTAGTATCCTTGTCTTTTTGAGAGCACTGTGAATTAAAATGAGTAGTTTCTGAAGAATCATCAGGTACTAAAACTGTAAATCAGCTCAGAGATAAAGGCATAGATTTGGGGGCAAACTGAAATAGCAGGGAGAACAAAACCATGCATAGCACATTATGGGCCAGGTTTAATACCAACTATGACTAACTGTTTTATAATTCCAGGTGCAAATCTGGTGAATAATTTACTAATAAACCTGAATCTTCCATCTATTGTGGAAATGAAGCTTCTATTAGTGTTAGCAGTAATGAGAGGGATTATAACGCAAATGATGATCTTCATATTGGCACACCAGGTTTCACTCATTTGTTCATAAATAATTCCCTGAATGTCTGACACACGCCAGGCACTGTTCCAGGTATTGGAGACAGAACAGTCAACAAGACAGATAAATACAAATACCTCTGACTCCAGAGCCCCAACTCAACTGTTATACCCTACTCCTTCAGCGCATATACTATGACAATTCCAATAATACTGACGAATGTGCCCTCAGTCACTCAGGCTTTCACCTAATGCTTCTGCAGGAAAACCTTCTATAAAGGTCCTGGACAGGTTTACATGCTTGAGAACACTACGGTAAAAAGAGAGTGAAACCATGATTCTAGGGTCTGACACATGCACCATATAGGCCCAACTACAAGACAACGACTTTTCCCAAAAATTATCCCTCAGAAAAAAGAGGGGATATAACAAAATGAGTATTATGTTAAAGGTGCACTGTTTAAATTCCTTTACATTGAATAGCAACTCAGTCAATGCTGTTTTTCCTAGAGGTGACCAGACAGAATCAGTGCATCAGAAGGAAAAAGAAGAAATGTAGCACCCTTGTTGACCTCAAAATTATAAGCATTGGATGTTGCTGTAAAGAAGTTATATTAAAGAGGACTTTAAAAGGAGTAAGTAAATGACCGTGATACAGAGGATCCATGAGATACAGGATGAATGAAAAGAGAAAACTATGCTGTTATTGTAATAGATTTTTCTGGCTTAGGACAAAGTTTTCAATGACAATACCATGCACTTAAAAGGAATTAAAAAGGATGTACTCTGGAAAACTGTATTAGATTGACTCAAATGAGGACAAAGACAGTGACTGATGTTAAAGGTGCATGTGAAGCGTCCGAAGAACATTTTCACTAGATAGCTACACTTACATGTAACTTTTAATATGTACAGATATGATTAAATTAATACCTTAAATAATGTAATCATTTGACCATTTCATCTCTATTCCTAGATATTCATGTATACACCGGATACCCCAAATTTTTTTTCAGATTGCCTAGATGGAAAAATCAGAGGTCCCTTATAATCAGAATTGCTTTGTACAATGCACATATACTCACTAATATGATGAATAATATTACTATGATTTTACAGTTAAAGAGTAAAAGGAGAAATAATTGAGCATTTACTGTGCACCTAAGATATACCAGATCTTGTACTATTAGCATTTACATAAAATATTTCATTCAATTTCCACTTAGTACTTTGAGTTGGGCATACAGGGACTTGACTATGGTAACAGCCTAGTATATAACAAAATTAAAGCTCAAACCTTATCTCTCTGGCTGAGAATCCATGTTCTTTCTACTATAGTATTAAGTACTATACACTTTGAAATAAGCTTAAATTTCCCTCAGTACTCCAGAAAGATGACATTAATACGTCTACCTGAGTATGGCCACTTCGTTTTATAAGCTTCACTCTAGTTTGGTCCAGGCAGGGTACATCCCCATAGCGGTTCTTCTCAAGGTTTCCTGGAGACCTGTAGGAAATAAAACAGACAAACTAAAATAAAGAAAAAGAGAAAGTGGGGGCAGTATGTATGTACAAAGTCTGGGAGTGCAAAGTTGGGTGTCAGTTACTATTAGGAGTGGAGATATGGAGCTTTTAATTTTCTAGTCTATGTAATTTTGTACTGTTTAACATTTTTAATGCTAAGTATATATTATTATTATGGAAATAAGGATATTTCCGTTAAAAAGAGAAAAAGGAGAGAGAATAAGCGTACAGCACTAAAAAAAACCCCTAACTTTAAATAAAATTTTCTACTACTCATTTTCCAAGATATTCAAAATAAATCTCTTAAGTTTCAGTTTAACACAGTAGATTAACGACATGACTCCATTCCGACCAGCAGCCTCACTAAAATGATAAAGAAACTACTCAGGACAAATTGAAAAAGGCAGAGCAGAGACATCAGCAGACAAAAATTTCAACCTATTTTGGCAAAGAGAAAACAGATAGAAGAATTTAGCTGATTTGGCCAAGTGCAGAAAAGCTAGGATCCCCAGAGGGGGTATCTACAGAGATACACAGTGACTCACTCTCAGAACTCCCACACCCTAGAAAGCTAAGTAAGACATAGGACTGAAAACAGGAATAAGTGAAAATACGAATGACAGTGAAAATCCCCTGCTCCATTCTCGCTGTCCAACACTCATATCTAGGCTTGGACCCTACCAGGCAAGAGAGTGTATGTAGAATTCCTTTCTGGGAAAAGTGAATGGCCCTACATAAAAGTTCTGTCATTTGGAGTATACACCAACAACAAGCCAGCTGATCATCCTCATTTGAAGATCACTCACACAAACAGGACTTCCAAACCGTTTTGAAGGACCCCACTCAAGTGTAAACAGCCATGGATTTCCAGATAATTAAGGAAAGCCTCTAACACAAAACAGACCGATTCAAATACACAAGGGTAAAAAAGCACAAAAGAGTTAAAACAAGTAAATTAGTTCTAAAAGGTTATAATTAATATCCTCAAAAAGAAAAATATTCTGTATAGATGAAACAAGAATAGGATTCTATGAAAAAGGAACCAAGAAGACAAGCCTTGGAAATTAAAAATATCCAAAATAACAATTTTAATGGAAGAGATGAGAGAAACTTGAGTAAATTTCCCAGAATATACATTTTTTTAATGTCAAAGCAATGAAAAATATGACAAAATTTAAGAACATAAGAGAATGATTCTAGGACAGGTGTCAGCAAACTACAGCTGGGCCACCAGTTTTTGTAGACGAAGGTTATATTAGAACATGGCTAAGTCCATCAGTTTAGTATTGTCTATGGCTGCTTTCACACTAAAGCGGCAGAGTTGAGTATCCTTTGCAAAAAAGATATATTACCTTGCCATTTCAGAAAAAGTTGGTCACTCCTAGCTTTAGGAGATCCAACCAGAATGATAGAAATATTCTACAGAGAAATGACATAATATAAAGAGAGAAATGAAAAAAATGTTTTAAGTAGTCCTAGAAACCTAGGGTAAAACAGCCTATCAAACACGCAACAAAATGAATGAAGAAAAAGACCTGCATGAAGGCACATCACTGTGAAATCTTTCAGGGGAAACATAAAGGGATTATCTAAAAATAAGCAAACAAGAAAAAAATGGTTGTTTACCAAGACTTAAGAAGGAATTAACATCAGACTATTTAGTAGCATTGTTAGTAACTGGAAAGGGATTGCTTTAAAAAATCTGAGGTAAAATTATTTCCAATGTAGAATTTTATGCTGTATTAAAATGAAATATAAGTAAACAAAGAAGATAGGGGGCCCCCAGGAAACAAGAGCAAATAAAAGAAAGTGGGAAGGGAAAATCTTAAGGTGAAAGCTGAAGAGCAAATCTAGACAATCACCAACCCTGTTTACACTTGAGCAAAAAAACCAAAAAGTTCTGGAATGGGGATCTCCAGGGAAAAAATGAAATCAACTCATTATCTGACATACTTGACCATTAGAAAAATAATGATAGTGCAAAATAAATCTGACTAAACATGAGGAAAAAACAAGGATAGGGACATAGAAAACTAAAAGCAATAAAAAAATGAGGTAATTAACTTCAGAAGAAAAAAATTAGACTTAATAAGATTTAACATGTTTCATCATTCCACAGAAGCCCACTTAGCTCCTAATTTAAAAAATGACATACAATTAACAGTGACTACTGATTGAATAAAAAATTATGACAATTATGTTGGGGGAGATTGGATTAAAGATGGTGGTATGAGAGGTGAAACAGAGACCTCCTCCTAAAATGACATATAATATGAAAATATAATTTAATACAACTAATCCTGAAAGAGCAACAGGAAAGAAGGCTGCACCAGACTGCACACACCTGGAGAAAAGAGCAGACCTCACGGAACAGGGTAACGTACCAAAGCTGTGGCCCAGCAGGACCCAAACCCTCCCCAACCCCAGCTCACCGGCTGGAGGAAGAGAAACAGAGTGGGGAGGGAGTGGAGGCCTGGGACGGCTGAACACCTAGCCCTGCAGATCTGCTCTGGGAGCATGAACTAACATTGCATGGTGCTCTGGTGATTCAGTGCTGTGGGAAAGCTAAGACAGGTGGAATACCTGGAGAGACGGAGATTCCAGCTGCTTGTGGAAAATAGGGATTCATATCTGGCTGATTTGGGGGGGCAGTATGAGAGACTTCCTAACAGCGAGAGGGGCAAGGATTGCACAGAGCTTAATGCCCAGGAGAAAGGACAGGTAGACAAAATTGTCTGGGTGCACTCTGCCCCACGACGTTGGGAGCTTAAATCATCATCAGGCGCTCCATCCCACTGACTGGCTATGAAGCTCCAAGACCCCCCACCACGGTACGGAGCATGCTTTTGTCTTCCTCCTGGCTAGCCTGCACCTGGGTCAGGTGTGCAAATTGGCAAACACTGCCCTGGCGTCAGGCATGCCAGAGGGAAGCCCCGCCTATGGCAGCTACAAACATGAAACATAGAGGCTTCCACCTGTGTGTTCTGCCCACTGGTCCTGGCAGTGGAGACAGGCATAGCAGCCTGGAAGCACGAAAGAGCTCTTTCCTCCCCCCGAGCACCAACACCGCTCCCCTAAAAACCCAACATTGCTCCAGGGCCTGAGCAGCTCCAGAGAGTACAGCTTCTGGGCACTAGAGAGCACCATAGACAAATTATAAAACATCAAAGGAAACTGGTTCAAAGCAAAATTATGAATACACCTGAGAAAGATTCAAATGAAATCGATCTCATGAATCTTCCTGAAAAAGATTTCAAAATAAAAATCATTAACATGCTCATGGAGGTAAAGAAAAATATTCAAGAACTCAAGAATGAATTTAGTACGGAGATCCAATCATTGAACACAATGAAGGGTATTAAAAGCAGATTAGATATGGAGGAAGAGACAATAAATGAAATAGAAATTAGAGAAGAGAAATACAAAGAAGCTGAGGCACAGAGATTGGATCTCTAAGAATGAAAGAATACTGAGAGAACTATGTGACCAACCCAAATGGAACAATATTTGTATCACAGGGCTATCAGAAGAAGAGAGAAAAAAAGAGATAGAAACTGTTCTTGAGGAAGTAATTGCTAAAAACTTCCCCAGTATAGAGAAAGAAACAGTCTCTCGGGTGATGGAGGTGCACAGATCTCCCAAAACAAGGGACCCAAGGAGGACAACACCAACACATATAATAATTAAAATGGCAAAGATCAAGGATAAGGAAAGACTATTAAAAGCAGCCAGAAAGAGGAATAAGATCACATAGAAAGCAAAACCCATCAGGCTGTCATAAGACACATCTCAGCAAAAAACCTTACAGGCCAGAAGGGACTGGCATGATATATTCAATGCAATGAAGAGAAGGGCCTAGAACCAAGATTACTTTATCCAGCAAGATTATCATTTAAATTTGAAATAGGGATTAAACAATTTCCAAATAAGCAAAAGCTGAGAGAATTTAACCCCCACAACCCATCTTTACAGTGTACTTTGGAGGGACTGCCATAGACAGAAGTGTTCCTAAGATTTAATAGCTGTCACCAGAGGTAATAAAAAGGAAAAGACAAAGAGTACAGAATATGATACATAATATATAAAGAATGGAGGAAGAAGAAAAGAAGGGGAAAAAAAAGAACCTTTAGCATACTAAGTGAGTTAAGTTAGACTCTGAGATAGTAAGGAAGTTACCCTGGAAAGTTCAGAAAACATTAATCTAAAGGCTGCAATGGCAATAAGTACATGCCTATCAATAATCACCCCAAATGTAAATGGTCTGAATGTGCCAATCAAAAGACATAGAGTCACTGAATAGATAAAAAAATAAGACCCTACCATATGCTGCCTACAAAAGACTCATTTCAAACCCAAAGATACACAGACTAAAAGTGAAGGGATGGAAAAAGATATCTCATGCAACTAATAGGGAGAAAAAATCAGGTGTTACAGTACTTGTATCAGACAAAATAGACTTCAAAGGAAAGAAGGTCACAGGAGATAAAGAAGGACATTAAACAATGATAAAGGGGTCAATCCAACAAGAGGATATAAGCATTATAAATATCTATGCACCCAACACAGGAGCACCGACATATGTGAAACAAATACTAACAAAATTAAAAGGGGAAATAGAATGTACTGCATTCATTCTAGGAGAATTCAACACTCCACTCACTCCAAAGGGCAGATCCACCAGACAGAAGATAAGTAAGGAGACAGAGGCACTGAACAACACACTAGAACAGATGGACCTAACAGACATCTACAGAACTCACCACCAAAAAGACGCAGGACACACATTCTTTCCAAGTGCACACGCAACATCTTCCAGAATAGACCACACACTAGGCCACAAAAAGAGCCTCAGTAAATTCAAAAAGATTGAAATTGTACTAACAAACTTCTCAGATCATAACGGTATAAAACTAGAAATAAACTGTACAAAGAAAACAAAAAGGCTCACAAACACATGGATGCTTAACAACATCCTAAACAATCAATGGATCAATGACCAAATTAAAACAAGAGATCAAACAATATATGGAGACATATGAAAACAACAGCACAATCAGCACAATGCCCCAACTTCTGTGGGATGCAGCAAAGGCAGTTCTAAGAGGGAAGTATATAGCAATCTACACCTATTTAAAGAAGGAAGAACAATCCCAAATGAATAGTCTAAATTCACAATTATTGAAACCAGAAAAAGAAAAACAAACAAAGCCCAAAGTCAGCAGAAGGAGGGACATAATAAAGATCAGAGAAGAAATAAATAAAATTGAGAAGAATAAAAAAAATAGAAAAAAATCAATGAAACCAAGAGCTGGTTCTGTGAGAAAACAAACAAAATAGATAAACCTCAGGCCAGACTTATTAAGAAAAAAAGAGAGTCTACACACATAAACAGAATAGGAAATGAGAAATGAAAAATCACTACAGACACCACAGAAATACAAAGAATTATTAGAGAATACTATGAAAATCTATATGCTAAAAAACTGTATAACCTAGAAGAAATGGACAACTTTCTAGAAAAATACAACCTTCCAAGACTGACCCAGGAAGAAACTGAAAAACTAAACAGACCAATTACAAGCAATGAAATTTAATCGGTAATCAAAAAACTACCCAAGAACAAAAGCCCCGTACCAAAAGGATTCACCGCTGAATTTTATCAAACATTTAGAGAAGACATACTACCCATTCTCCTTAAAGGTTTCCAAAAAATGGAAGACAAGAGATTACTTCCAAACTCATTCCATGAAGCCAGTATCACTTTAATACCAAAACCAGGCAAAGACACCACACAAAAGAAAATCACAGACCAATATCCCTAATGAACACAGATGCAAAAATAGTCAACAAAATATTAGCAAACCGAATTCAAAAATGCATCAAGAGGATTGTACAACATGATTAAGTGGGATTCATCCCAGGGATGCAAGGATGGTACAATATTCGAAAATCCATCAAAATCATCCACTACATCAACAAAAAGGACAAAAACCACGTAATCATTTCCATAGATGTTGAAAAAGCACTCAAGAAAATTAAACATCCATTCATGATAAAAACTCTCAACAAAGTGGGTATACAGGGCAAGTACCTCAACATAATAAAGGCCATATATGATAAACCCACAGCCAACATTATACTTAACAGTGAGAACCTGATAAATTTTCCTGTAAGATCGGGAACAAGACAGGGATGCCCACTCTCCCTGATTTTATTCAACACACTACTGGAGGTCCTAGACACGGCAATCAGACAACACAAAGAAATAAATGGCATCCAGATTGGTAAGGAAGAAGTCAAAGTGTCACTGTTTGCAGACAACATGATACTGTACATAAAAAACCCTAAAGAATCCACTCAAAAATTGCTGGAACTAATATCTGAATTCAGCAAAGTTGCAGGATACAAAATTAATACACAGAAATCTGTCACATTCCCACACTAACGATGAACTAGCAGAAAGAGAAATCGGGAAAACAATTCCGTTCACAATTGCATAAAAAAGGATAAAATACCTAGGCATAAACCTAACCAGGGAAGTGAAAGACCTATACCCTAAAAACTACAAGACACTCTTAAGAGAAATTAAAGAGGACACTAACAAATGGAAATTCATCCCATGCTCTTGGGTAGGAAGAATTAATATTGTCAAAATGACCATCCTGCCTAAAGCAATCTACAGATTCAATTCAATTCCTATCAAAATACTGACAGCATTCTTCAATTAATTAAAGCAAATAGTTCTTAAAATTCGTATGGAATGATAAAAGACCCCGAATAGCCAAAGCAACCCTGAGAAGGAAGAATAAAGCAGGCGGAATTACACTCCCTGACTTCCAGCTCTACTACAAAGCCACAGTAACCAAGACAGTTTGGCACTGGCCCAAGAACAGATCCACAGACCAGTGCAACAGAATAGACAGTCCAGATATTTACCCAAGAATATATGGTCAATTAATATATGATAAAGGAGCCATGGACATACAATGGGGAAATGACAGCCTCTTCAACAGCTGGTGTTGGAAAAACTGGACAGCTACATGCAAGAGAATGAAACTGGATTGTTGTCTAACCCCATATACAAAAGCAAACTCAAAATGGATCAAAGACCTGAATGTAAGTCATGAAACCATAAAACTCTTATAAGAAAATATAGGGAAAACTCTTGAATATAAACATGAGCAACTTCCTCATGAATATATCTCCACTGGCAAGGGAAACAAAAGTAAAAATGAACAAGTGAGACTATATCAAACTAAAAAGCTTCTCTACAGCAAAGGACACCATCAATAGAACAAAAAGGCATCCTACAGTATGGGAGAACATATTCGTAAATTACATACGCAATAAGGGGTTGATATCCATAATATACAAAGAGCTCATGCACCTCAACAAACAAAAAGCAAATAACCCAATTAAAAAATGGGCAGAGGATTTGAACAGATACTTCTCCAAAGAAGAAATTCAGATGGCCAAGAGGCACATGGGAAGACGCTCCACATCACTAGTCATCAGAGAAATGCAAATTAAAACCACAATGAGATATCATCTCACACCAGTGAGGATGGCCACCATCCAAAAGACAAACAACAACAAATGTTGGCGAGGATGTGGAGAAAGGGGAACCCTCCTACACCGCTGGTGGGAATGTAAATTAGTTCAACCACTGTGGAAAGCAGTATGGAGGTTCCTCAAAAAGCTCAAAATAGAAATACCATTTGACCCAGGAATTCTACTTCTAGGAATTTACCCTAAGAATGCAGCAGCCCAGTTTGAAAAAGAGATGCATGCCTATGTTTATCACAGCACTATTTACAATAGCCAAGAAATGGATGCAACCTAAGTGTCCATCAGTAGATGAATCGATAAATAAGATGTGGTACATATACACAATGGAATATTATTCAGCCGTAAGACGAAAACAAATCCTACCATTTGCAACAACATGGATGGAGCTGGAGGATATTATGCTCAGTGAAATAAGCCAGGTGGAGAAAGACAAGTACCAAATGATTTCACTCATCTGTGCAGTGTAAGAACAAAGGAAAAACTGAAGGAACAAAACAGCAGCAGAATCACAGAACCCAAGAATGGACTGAAAGGAATGAACTATGCTCTACTGTCAACAATAGTTATCAAGTAGTTATGAACTAGTTATAAACTAGATGGTTTTGTGGTAGGATGTGGTTAGAAGGAAATCCCACAAGGCTAAATTCCTAAGAGGCAACTCTTCTCTTATTGACTGGATTATTTTATTTACATATTTATATATGTATTTATTTATTTTTGCTTTTTTTAATTGAAGTATAGTTGATATACAATCGTACACTAGTTACAACACAGTGGTTCAACAGTTACCAATATTCTTCAATCCTTACCCCCTCTAATGCAGTTACTATCTGTCAACACAGGAAGATGTTGCACTGACTGGATTACATTAAATGCACCAGAACCACTCCCCCTTGGAAAACAAAGTTATACTATAAATGCTCTATGAAGAAACTGCACAAATGAAAGGACCAGAGATCATAGTGAAGACAGGAATAGAAAGTCTATGTTTTGGGGGTTGTTTCCTAAAAACACTTGCATTTTCATATAATATCAAAAAACAGTGTCTGTTATTACAGGGTTCCCTTATTGATACCAAAGATCTTCAGAAATGTCAGAACATAGGATGTTGCCAACAAGCACCGAAGCAAGAGGGATCTCTGGACAACAGAGACTCAGCTGTTACCAGAGGTGTGATCAGCGGATGACCGATCTTGGCCCAAACCTTTCCTACTTACATGGAACAGTGGAAAGTGCCAACAGGGCTCTCACGACGGATGTCTTCATACTCTTCATATATCCCCCGCTTTTGCCTGGTGCTAACATAGTCCATCAATTCTTGGATGGTCATGGCATGAGGACCTGGAACATGCACCGAGTCCCAGTCAAAGGCAGGAGGGAGGGAGAATAGGATGATCTCATCAAAGGGATCTGGGTGGCCATTCATCTGTGGTAGGAACTGGAAATTCCAAGTGGCGAGGTCAATTTTGATGTACCCACCCAGATTTTCTGGAAGGCACTCCCTGGGCAGGTGCTGTGTGACCTCAGATGTCTTTAAAATCTGAATCTAGAAGGCCAGAAAGAACCATGTGAGTACATGGGGTTGAGGGGGGCATATAGATAGTGAAGGTAAAGAACAAATGTGCTTTTATTAGGTTTGGAGAACAGGATGAGATTTGCTTGAAATAGTTGGTATACTTGTAAGAGACGTAGAGTGCATTTCATCTGCCTGGGATTGAAGTCCTATGAATTTCCTTTTCCCAAAGGAATGACTCCCCAGGATGTGTATCAAATTCACTTCTGGAATTAGGGGTCCTCTTACAAACCTTTTGAAAGGAACTACAATGTAACAAAAGCTTTATACAGAGCTTCCTGACACTATCTCCTTCAGGTATTTACCTTTTGGACTAAGAATGCATAGGTAGTGGTTTTTTTTGTCACCTCCATACTAAAGCAAACAATTCTAAGCCTGTTAGCTTGTGCTTTACTCACATCTTGGTATGGATTTTCTCAAAGTAGGTTCTATTAAGCAAGACAGGTAGGCTACCCAGAAGCAGGGGAGCCCAGGAAAAATGCTAGAGAAGTAAACATAGCACCAAATTTTGTTCTCTGCATGGACACAACCATGCTAGACTAAATCAGTAGAGCTGGTTCTCCGTGGAATCTGTGTGGAATGGGAATGCTGTCTTCTTGCTGTCGCCTCTTCCCGGAATGCCGCTTTCCCTCCTCAGCCTCCCCAAGGACCAGCTGATATACAGCTCACCTCTTCCACAAAGCCGTCCCTGCCTGCCTGAGGCAGTATTCTCCTCTCTGCTCCCGTAGCGCTGTAGCACTCTGCGCATATCTCTGTGTTCTCAGTCAGAAGCATGAGCTCCTTGAGAGGAAGGACTACCTCACTCAATTTTTAATATTTTTATTTATAATAAGGGAACTTATATATAAAATCTATGAATATATTTTAAAGTATCTTTTGAGTTTATACATGCACTTATACTTGTATATAACTCAAGTGCAAGAACTTGCCTAAGGAGTTATCATATTATCACAGGAAAACCTCTCCTATTCTGAGTCATTAGGTCCTAAGTAGTGCTACAAAGGCAAACATCTTCAGTTTTCCCTCTCTAACCCAAGGTGCCTCAGCTATAAAGATCTGCATTGTAATTACTAATATAACCTCATAATCCTACACTACAAAAGTCTCTGATACTATTTCACAACAACTTTATTACCTTATTATGTGTTTCAAATGCCCTTTCTTTCAAGGGTGAGGAATGAATGAATGACTGAATGAATGAATGAGATCATCTTTTAGTCCTGGCGCACTCAGGGGATAACAGAATTAAGATAATTTTTGACAAATATTTGAAGTCAGGAACAAGCTGTTTCAAGAGAGAATGACAGGAGTGAGAGTGAGAGGCTTTCCTCCGCCATCCTGCTGGTCAAAGGGACTGAATGGTATTTCCAATTGAACAAATTTAAACACCAGGTCAACTAATGCACTTATATTAGAAGTTGTTAAATATTAAAGGCCTGTATGCCTCTAGCCTAAATTTCAGAACTAGTGGTTATCCCTACGTTCCCCACAGGACCCATTCCTTCAGTACTATCTTTGCGAAAGGTGCTATGGAGGGTGAGTGCCAGACAAGCTATGTCTAGTTCCCAACTTCAAAGAACTTACTAATACAGTAAGAGAGGCAGCCTGTACTGAGCTGAGTAAAGAATATAGCAGAGAATATAAGTGAATGTACTAACAGAAACACAAAGTGCTCTAGGAGACAAGCCAGCAGGATTTTTTTTGAAGGTAGAAAATTAATTGACAGATTTCAACCATAGAGATGGGAATGTATCTATATACCTCCAAATAAAATAAAGCTAGCATGTCTTACCCTTTCCCGGACTTTGTCCTTCAGCAGGAGGCTGATGATGGAATAGGGCACTCGGAACCATATGGGCGCTCCCACAATCAACACTTTCTTCAAACGAGCTGGAAATGCTCCCTGTGGAGAACACATAGGAGGATTTAAAGATACCAGACAGGGCCCGGCAACAGCCCTGATGGCATCTGTGACTGTTCAAGCCCAGCGTTTAGGTTTTCTGTTCGTCTCCCGATTCTTACCCAGTAGGGGTAGAGCCTACCGCCTAATCAGGTTTCACTTCAGTAGCTAGAGAAAAAGTGGTTAAAAAGAAATACATTAAAAGCTGATTTACCTTTAAAATAAGATCTACCTTTACATTACACACTTGTTGACATAAGCCTTACGGATCAAATACTTTTCTAACTTTTCTTATAAGCATACATGTGTATATCATCAACTTCTGCTTATGAGAACTTACAATTAAATCATAAATAAACATGAAAGAAAGTTTTCTCTCATTTTTCTATTATTCTGATATCTGTATATTTATTATCAGGTTTTTTTGCCCATCTCTTCATTTATTTATTTAATCAATAAATAAGATCTCGTGAGCACAGGGCAAATGAGGTGTAAAAGAAAGGAGCCTCCTGATCTGGACAGAGCATAGGAATGAAGTTATTCGATCTTAATCCACACCTCATTTAGTTTCTCAATATTCCATCCCTTCTCATGGCTATAAAAATTTACACACCACATATATATTTTCACAGAGAAAAAAAAAGAGTGTGAAAAACTATATATCGAAAGTTCAATAGAGTTTATCTTTGATAAGTGGGATTATGAGTCATTTTAACTTTATTCTTCACATTTTTCTATACCGTCCCATTTCCATAGTATAGCAGTTAGCACATTCGCCTCACATTTTATTTCCTATAAAACTTTGTATTACTAGAAATTCAGATGGCCAACAGGCACATGGAAAGATGTTCCAAATCACTAATCATCAGAGAAATACAAATTAAAACCACAATGAGATATCACCTCATACCAGTTAGGATGGCCAATGTAGAAAAGACTAGGAACAACAAATGCTGGCGAGGATGCAGAGAAAGGGGAACCCTCCTACACTGCTGGTAGGAATGTAAATTAGTTCAACCATTGTGGAAAGCAGTATGGAGGTTCCTCAAAAAACTAAAAATAGAATTACCATTTGACGCAGGAATTTCACTCCTAGGAATTTACCCCAAGAATGCAGGAGACCAGTTTGAAAAAGACAGATGTACCCCTATGTTTTTCGTAGCACTATTTACAATAACCAAGAAATGGAAGCAACCTAAATGTCCATCAGTAGATGAATGGGTAAAGAAGATGTGGTACATATACACAATGGAATATTATTCAGCCGTAAGAAGAAAACAAATCCTACCATTTGCAACAACATGAATGGAGCTAGAGGGTATTATGCTCAGTGAAATAAGCCGGGCAGAGAAAGACAAGTATCAAATGATTTCACTCATTCGTGAAGTATAGGAACAAAGCACATACTGAAGGAAAAAAATAGCAGCCGACTCACAGAACCCAAGAATGGACTAATGGTTGCCAAAGGGAAAGGGACTGGGGAGGGTGGGTGGGAAGGGAGAGAGAAGGGGAATAAGGGGCATTACGATTTGCATACATAATGTTGGGGGAGTGGGCATGGGGAAGGCAGTTAGCACAGAGAAAACAAGTAGTGACTCTATAGAGCATCTTAACTACACTGATGGACAGTGACTGTAGTGGGGTAGTGGTGGGGTCTTGATAATGGGGGGAATCTAG